ATTCAGCACTTTTAAATATTGTTATTTATGAAAATGTAGTTTAAAATGCAAGACAAAATATTTATAAATGTTTCTTTTAATAAATACCTGTTTTGTCTGAAAGTGTTACTGTGTTTTGACAACTTTATTCATGTTGGTTAGCTATTTACCATTATGAATAAAATATTCAATTATTGTACTGATAGAATAAGAGCTATGATGTTTACAAATCCTGAGGGGGGAAAATTCAGTGAGAAAGCACTGCCTCCTTCTACTGTGAAATACTGAATTTCTCTGGCTTTTTTCTTACTTAGAATTTAACTATGGTCCTACATATGTCTAGTATCATTTGATTACAGTTATATTTACTGTGGTACTAAACATATACAGCATCATATATGTATATATTTACATAGTGTAATTTCAAGTTGTTGGTGTTTGAGGCACAATACATTTAGCCCACACATCTAAACAATGTGTAAGAGACAGAACTGCATGCATAAGTCTTTACAAATGTAGACTTGAATATTCTTAATGTTACTATTTGATGGTGACCTGCTAGTCATTAGCTATCTTTATAAGATAGTTCACACAAGTAGAAGTTCTTGTCAACATGGACAAGTCATTCTTTCAAGACAGTTTTAAAGTTAGATGTGCAGGCCCTGAAATATTATACTGATTTCTAGCATAAGGTTCCAAAATCTGTATTTGGAAACTGTGACATCATTTTGAAAAATATTACACCAATCTTCAGTGTAATACTGCAATGAAATCACGTTCAAAATTTATTGTCTAAAATCCTCTATTTGGAGGGGTTTAAAAATTGAAAATAGCATGTGAAAGTTTCTTTCTTGGAGCAAATGCTCATAATAAAATGTTTAATATATATTTCATTTATCAGTTTGGATTTCCCAAAATTTCTTTATAACAAAATGGATGTAGTCCAAATGGACAGTAAGTCATGCTGTAACATGATTTCATTGCCTATCATACAGTTCTTTGAACACAAATTGTAAAACAGTCAAGCTATTAAACTGATTTAATGTGCATGCAGTGTACAATACACTTTGAAAAACTGCCTAAATACACTTATTCTATAGCCTGGAATAAAATAAGTATGTATTTAACTTGTATTTCAGTTTTTCATGAGAATGTGTATAGCAAGTGCACTACAGAAAGTGAATTACATTTTTGTCACTTTTGCCCAGTGTTTAATATTTCTGTCAAATAGACCCTAATGCCAAATAGCCATAAGCAGAGCACCTGACCTTTAGGTTTAAAAAAAAAAAAAAAAAAAAAAAGAGTGTATATTGTGTTATGCATGTGTTCAACCTAGCTGTTCACAGCCAGCTTTCACATAACTGAGCTGAAAGTAGTTTGGGTCACCCAGGATAAAGCAAAATCCACAGATAGTATCATGAGCATTCAAATTAGACTGAAGGCACATATGGTGTTAAGGAGACTAAAGGTATGATGGAGAAAAGACAGGTCAGTGACACAGGTGGCTGGGCTGCAGTTTAACCAACTGAGTTCCAGATCACTCAGTACCATGGAAGTGTGGCCATAGTGCTTCCAGGTCCACATCCTGTCCACAACTCACTTGAATACCTGTGGAGTCCACATGGTCCATTCGCAGGACAACAGGGAGTGGAAACAAACTAGACTTAAGTTAGTAATAGCTCTGTTTTAAGTTAAAGGCATGCTCAAGTGTCTGCGATCTAAACCGAGAAAATAAAGGAGAACTATGCTCTACCTTAAACAGTTAGGGTTTAAGCTGTCACCTGATGCCAAACTTGCTTCCCTAGGCAGCAAATTCGATCACAAGGAGCATCTGTCTGTGGAACCAGTATCTAAAAATAGATGGGGAGCTTTTTTAGTAAGTGCAGCTTGCTGGATTGACCACGCCATGAGCCTGCTTAGGAACCTGCATCTTCTATGTGCAGTAAGTGCTTGAGAAAGCCATTTAGCATAAGCATTCCACAATAACAATTCAAAAACAATCAAAGCTGATGCAAGAAAATCTTGAACTTTAGCAACTCTCTATACCACAAGGAGCAAAGCTCACACCTCCACAATGTCTGAGCAGTGAGCCTGCTCCTGGCATCGTTAACCCAGCCAACAGAGCCTTAACAGTCCTTACCAAATCCAAAGCAAAAAATGAAGGTTTCACATAGGTAGCTGCAGTGCCTGCTCCAAGTTAACTTGACCCTTGTCTAACTACTAACTTCAAAATAGCTTTTTTTTTCACATAATGCTGTTGTTTTTTGAGAGACCCAAGGGTAGCACAGTAGCACATTTTGAGACTTGGATGCAGTGATAAAGATCCAGTCCCGCTCACAATACCCTGACTACATATGCAATAACAAAACATCAGCCCTGTTCACGCATGTCCTGAATATTTCTACCAGCAGTAGAAGTGATGGTTGTGGGATGAAAGAACAAAGCAACAGTGGTGCCAAAATCATTTGGCAAAAGCCTTACAGAAACACTGTCTGCATATTATTTAACATTACACCAAAATCCAGATTTTGCCCCTTCATTTATCTGTGAACTCACACTGTGGAAATCTATTGTTCCAGTTTAAAACAGGGATATGGTTCAAAGGCTGACCATCAGTGATTGACTCACAGTACTTTTTTTTTTCTTTTCAAAAGCTTTACATTTCATCCCCCCTTACTCTAAATTTCCTGAGTTTTCCATACTTCTTTTCACAAGCAGGGTTCACACAGTAGTTAAACTGTCATTTGTGGGGCAGTGTTGACCTGCTGGAATGCAGAAGGGCTCTTCAGAAGGAGAAGCTTGAGATGGTCTGATTCCAATAGGGTGAGGTTCAACAAGGCCAAGTGCCGGGTCCTGCACTTTGGCTATAACAACCCCCTGCAGCGCTACAGGCTGGGCACAGAGTGGCTGGAGAGCAGCCAGGCAGAAAGGGACCTGGGAGTTTGGATTGACAGGAAGCTGAACATGAGCCAGCAGTGTGCCCAGGTGGCCAAGAAGGCCAATGGCATCCTGGCCTGCATCAAGAACGGTGTGGTCAGCAGGAGTAGGATTCTTCCCCTGTACTCAGCACCGGTGAGGCCACACCTTGAGTGCTGTGTCCAGTTCTGGGCCCCTCAGTTCAGGAAGGATATTGAGGGGCTGGAGCAGGTCCAGAGAAGAGCAACCAGGCTGGTGAAGGGACTTGAGCACAAGCCCTACAAGGAGAGGCTGAGGGAGCTGGGTTTGTTTAGTCTGGAGAAGAGGAGGCTCAGGGGTGACCTCATCACTCTCTACAACTACCTGAGAGGAAGTTGTAGACAGGTAGGGGTCAGTCTCTTCTTCCAGACAACCAGCAGTAGGACAAGAGAGCATGGTCTTAAACTTGCCAGGGGAGGATTAGGTTGGATATTAGGAAGAAATTCTTTACAGAGAGGGTAAAGGGCATTGGAATTGGCTGCCCAAGGTGGCGGTGGATTCACCATCCCTGAAGGTTTTTAAGATGCGACTGGACGTGACACTTGGTGCCATGGTCTAGTAACCACTGCAGTGTTGGATCAAGGTTGGATTTGATGATATCAGAAGTCTCTTCCAACCCAGTTGATTCTACAATTCTATTCTATGATTCACTGTCACAGAACACCAAAATATTTGGTTTATTGAATGCACAAATTTGGTCATTTTTCCTTTACCCTTCAGAAGGGCTTCAAGAAGCTCCTGGTCAGGCAGTAGTAGGTGCAAGGGAATCTTTCACTGGTGAGATTTCATATGCAATGCTGTTTATCCGCACCAGACTAGTCACACAGTCTGCATTCTCCACAAAGATCTTCAACTGTGATTTTTACTTATAAGCTATTGTTACAGTGTATTTTGCCAATAAAGCTTGTCCAAAATGGTGCAAAAAGGTTTTTATCCAATCATTCATTTAAATGTTTAATATTCTGAATAACAAGTTCTCATGTTGGGTGTACTGCCCTTGTATTTCCATCATGGAAGAAAAACTTCCAAGTTTTCATTTCTGCCTAGCAAAACTACTCAGGTGTACAAGCATTACTCCATTACTCTTGCTTTTGATATTACACGTGAGAATAACAATTTACTATGTATCATATGGAAGTTAGTTATTCCATCAGCGTAATTTAGTTGTAAAGTATGATTACCTAATTCTATTAAGACGTGAACAAGATCAGAAGAAAGTCAAGGACACAACTGTGACTCCTCCAATGATTGTAATATAAAATACAGCCTAATAAAGTTTTATGGATAGTTGCACATTTTTATAATAAAGTATATTCTTCAAACTGTTTCGAGTTTAGCCAAGAATATCTCATTAATGATATCTAAAACAAAGTTACTATGCCAATCTGCATATCAGAAGAAATATAGTCCAGATCATGCCACAGCACCCATTACATCACAGTTATTAAATGATTGCATCCTCATTGCCTTCCCATTTAAAAGTCTGACATAAGAAGTTTGACACTGTGCTCAAATTTCTATTTTGTGAACAGGTTGTATTTTAGTCTCATTGCTATTTTCTGACGCAAAGGCACTTAGAATTGCCTTTTTTTCTTCCCCTAAAAATTCCTCTAACTGCTTAATTCTGCACCTGCTTTCACCGTGGGGGTATCCTTCCGCAAGTGTTTGCATGTCCCTCCTCAGGGTACTTTAAATTCTCAAAACTTCGCCTGAAGGGATGGGAGAAGGTCTGTAAGAGTAACCCGGATATCCAAAGACACAGCTCCAATTTCCCCCTTTCACCTATGCATAGGTTGCATTAAACCGCCGCAGCAGAATGCTCAGCACCGTCGCGGCTCTCGCCCAGGAGCCCTGCTTTTGTCAGGGTGACCAAAAACCCAACCTCGCTGTCCCCTGCGGGGCCCGCAGGGGGCGCTCAGCACCCCCCTCGCCCCGCCCTTACAGCGCTGGCCAATCAGGGCGCTCCCGGCCCAGGGCGGAGCCCCGCGCGCCGCAGGGAGCCGAACGCCTTCGGCCGTTTCCGCCCGCGCACCCCCGGTAATTCCCGACCGCGCCCGAAGCCGTCGCCGAGCCCCTTCGGCAGCTTCCGGAAACCCAGCGGGCGGGCGCCCGAGTACGGTCGGATGTCCCCGGCGCGGCCGTGACGCGCCGGCGGAGGGAGGGCGCCGTCGCTCCCGCCTCAGCGGCACATGCGGCTGTTCTCGCGAGCCCTCCGCGCGGCGCGGGGCTGCTGCGCCGCCGCGCTTCCCCATCGGGGCCTCCGAGCAGCGCCGGCCGCGAGCAGCGCGGCGGGGAGATGCGCGCCCCAGCCGCGCCGCGGGCTGAGCACCCGGCCTGCCCTGGACGAGCTGTTCGCCGCCCCGTCCTTGCGGCGGCTGCTGGAGGCGCGGGCACGGGCCGCGGGCGGGGCGGCGCCGCAGCTGGCGGCGAGCGTGCGACGGCTGCGCGACAAGGAGCGCGAGCTGCGCGACACGCGCGAGCTGGCGCGGCAAGGTGCGTGGTGCGCGGGCCGCGGGGACATTTGCATGCGGGGGCGCGATTGGCGGAGCAGCCCCGAGGGGGCGGAGCCTCGCGGCGGGCGTGGCGGGGCTGTGCGCGCGGGGGTCGCGCCACGCGTGTCCCCTCGGTGGGGTGGGGAGGGGAGGGAGAGAGAGGAGGGGGGATGTGACACCCCCGTCACTGGCGCGGCCGGGGCGGTCCCCTCGGGCCTTCCGGAAGTAGAGAAACCACCCGAGCGGACGAGTGGGGAAAGCACATCCGCCGGCCTAGGAGCTGCTGATACTGGAACGGGGAGCAGCGCGGTGACACCTGTTTCTCATAGAATCACGGAATATTATGAGTTGGAGGGGACCCACTGGGATCGTCGAGTCCAGCTCTTAATACAGGGATCAAACCCACAACCTTGTTGTTACTAGCCCTGTGCTCTAACCACATAAAATAAAGATAATTAATCCGGGATGGAGAACTTCTAAAGATTTTTTTAATCCATTTTTCTCTTGCTGCCGAGACAGCCCAGCCTACCTGCCTGTCTCCATTTGCAGTCACAGACATCAGCATCTGTTTGTGCTGCCTCCACGTGTGATTTGACTTTGTACTGTGCCAGTAGCTGCACACTTTTAGTGCTGCCAAATGACATTTTTTTACCCAGAATCAAACTTCCTTTTGATAGCAGTTAGAAAATCAAAATGCACAAAAGGAGTACTTTAAGGTCAGTAAACATTAATTAGCTTGTGAAATATTCCCTAGATGATTTAATACTTGCTACTAAATACCAATTAATCAAAAGTACTAACTCTAGGTAGCTGTTCTGACTAGTGAAGGTGGCAAACACTGTCCGAAAACAATAGCTCCTGTTTGGTATTTTTACTATCTCTTACACCTCGGTTTGAAAAAGGAGAAATGTTTCCTTTGAACAAACTAATAATTGACCCAAGCTAACTTAATGAAATGGAATGAAAGATTTTTTTTTCTCCTTTCAGAACCTCCTGAAAAAGCCAGTGTTATCAAAGCCAGGCTTAGAATTTCAGCAAAGTGAAGAGATCATAAAGGCCTAGTCAGTAACTCTGAGCACTTCTGCAGTTAATAATTGCAAATATTTGTTTAATTATTTTTAAATTATTTTAAAGCCTGTATTACATCTGCATCTTAAACTACGCAACTACTGTTAATTGGTAGATTATTTCTTAACTGAATAATAATCGTGTTATCAACAGCTTGTTTGACTCTTCACAGATTTTCAGTTCCTTAATTCTTATCCTTCCTTCGGTTGGCCTTAGTAACTAGCCCTTGATCAGTCAGTAGTTATGGTAAAGAAATGTAGATGGAGATAATCAAGTTTACATGTTCGAAGCATTACAGTTAGTCAGATAGTCAGCCATGCGTGCCCTTAGCCAGCTGTAGATAAAGCATGCTTGTTGTTTAAACCAATTTATGCATTATTATCCTTTTAATTTCCTTCTTACAGGAGTGATAGAGGAGTTAATTCACCAATATTAAACCTAAAATATAAAGTAAAAAAATTTCATTTATAGTTGAGCTAGTGACTATTTGCAGTCACAGTGCTGAAAAGGTGTGGCTCTAATGCAAGACTGCTCCTGACCACATTTAAAAGTTTGCTGTAGACAGAAAAAAGTCTAGCCCCAGCTCCCCATTTTTCACTGTATGTACCATTTTCTCCTTTTTTGGGTGATCAGAGGCTGCTTAAAATATTGATTTTTTTTCCCTTTGTTTGAAGTTTGATATTGACCCAAAAAAAAAAAAACAGAAGAAACACTTTAACATATTGAAACTGTAGTACAGAAAAAGAAGTCTTAATTGAAAAGCATTAGTGTTGGCCAATCAAGTGACGCTTCAAAAAAAAGAGTTCTTCCATAATTTTGTTTTTAGATGTTTTAGAAGTTTAGCAGCTGTTCTCGAATAAATTGAGAGATATAAAATACTTGAAATTACTACTGCAGTCTTCAGATTTTTGCATACAATGATAGAGATAATAGTCCTTTTAACAAAGAGTGCCAATTGTGGGGCTGTTTTGCTCTTTGAATCCTTAAAGTTTCTGTCATACTGAAATACAGAAAGTAATTTCTTAGAGTCACAGAATGGCTGAGGTGAGAAGGGACCTTTGGAAATCACTCAGTCTAGCCTTCTGCTCCGCAGGATCACCCACAGCAGGTTGCTCAGGGTTTTGCCCAGTTGAGGTTTGCGTATCTCCAAGGATGGAAACTTAGAACCAGTCTGGGCAACCTATGCCACTGTTTGACCACTGGCACAGCAATTTTTCTTCTTTTTTTGGTTGTGTTGGATTTTGTTTGTTTTGTTCTTTAAAGTTTCAGATTTTTCCCATGTCTTTTACCTGCACAGGATTAGAACACACTTAATATCTACTGTGTATCTTCATTACAGATCATATTATTAATTTGATTTTCTGGCAGGTTTAGCATGTTGGGGATAGGGGCAAGTTGTGTAGTAGGTTGCTCTTGGGTTTGGTTTTTTTTTTTTTTTGTAGAGTAAGTTCTTCATGTGGTTATTTTTCAGAAGGTTTTCTAAGAGTATAAGTCTGAGGATTAACCATACTCAAATATTCCAGATGAGAATCAAGATTTACGGAAGCTTGCAGAAATGGAAATTGCCTCCTGTGAAGAAGAGATAGCTGAACTGAAACAACAGGTGAGATCCCCTTAAAGAGCCTCTATTTCCTTGTCATTCGTAAATTAAAAAGGCCAGATTGTCTTCTCAGGAACATTGGAACTAGGTGATATTTAAGGTCTCTTCCAACCCAAACCGTTCTATGATTCTCATCAGTATGTATATGATAAACTCTTTTCCTCCACTCTTTGCTAGTTATACTCAAATATCTAAGGAAAATGAAAAAAGCAGATGCTACAGGTACAGCCTGTAAGCAAGTGCCTATTTCTACCTGAAAATGTTTTAATCAATGTATCTTTTTAAGTTGCTGCTATAGTTTGTCTTGTCTGGATATACTGTTGCAGATATCCAGCTCTTTATTGCTTTGAAACAAAACTTACATGTTATGAGGCGTACTAGTGGTCTTGGAAAAAATATTTTAATACTATGTAACTACTTTAGTTGCTACCTTAAATAGATTTTACAGAGTATGTATGTTATTTAAAAAAAACCAATACATGAACTTTACAATAAAAATCTGTTTAACTTAATGTTACTTATGAAGTAGAAGCTGGTATGGTTACACTCTTTATTCCTCTGACAACAATACAACAGTCACTTTATGAATATTTTTGTAAATATTTATTATTTTGCCAAAAGAAAAAATTATCTCTAGGAAGAAACATCACCTAATGCTAGTAAAGGAAGATGATTGAAAAGCATTTGCAAATCAGGCAGAGTTTTGATGCAGTATGCAAAATTGTGATACAGTTTTTTACTTCTGGTGTATCTTTCTTCTGTAGATCTGGCTCTTCCATTTTAAATAAATAAATGAATAGTACATTTGAGTTGAAGGACTGTCTTCTGAACATCCATACCTTCTTAGCTCTACAGTTGAGATGGGGTTAAGAGGAAATCTGACGAGAAGGAGATGTTCAGTTGTCTTGCAAGAAGCAGCATGAATCCTGCAATGTCCAAATGTCCTCGCAGTTCTCCTGATGGGGGAAACTTCTGTGAAGTTTTGTGGGTCTTGAGAGAAACCAGTGTAGCTCCTGTAACTGTGAACTGAGACAGGGAGCCTTTCTGCAATGCAACATCACCCCCACTCACCTCTGGCTGGCTGCTGCTTCCTCACTACAGGAGGCATGAGAAGCCCATCCTCAGGGCAGCCCAGGGGTCAGTGCAGAGAACACAGCCTAGATCAGTTACAGACTTGTCGTGGTGTTTTGTATTGTCTCAGTTGCAGATAGTATCAGAGAGGAGTCTTAGCTGGGTGTTTTTGTATTTACAGATAGTGTTGCTTTTGATTCCTTCAGAAGAAACAGATGAGAGTGATCTGGTCATGGAAGTAACTGCTGGAGTTGGAGGGCAGGAAGCCATGCTGTTCACTTCGGAGATATTTGATATGTATCAACGATATGCTGCCTATAAAAAATGGAAATTTGAAGTATTAGAATACTTTCCCAGTGAAATAGGTCAGTAATGAAAATACTGTAACTTCCTAATAGAAGCTGAAACACTCATTCGTATGACACTTTAATTTCCTAACTATAGGAAGCTAATTTGCACTATCTTAATTTTAGAAGTGGAGGATTGTTTTAATGTCTGAGTACAATTTTCCTCAGCTTCTGTATTTGAGAATGAAATTCCATTTCAGAAGTACTATTAAAATACTAAAGTGCTAAAAAGAAAGCTTGTCTTTCAATAGTTTCATTTCTACATTTTGAGAATACTGAAAGACAGGTGCTTGGCAGAAGGAAATTCAGAAAGTGATGAAGATATGTTGGTTTAGCTTTATTTTTTTATTTTTTAGAAATGAAGATTGCATATTCTTTTTATTTGGATACACTCTTCTACTTAATTAATGTTTAAGTGCTTATAGGTCAGTTTGGTGGCAGATTGAAAGTCTGTTTATTATTGTAGATTAGCAGAGAGGAATCAGTTTTATTAAAACGATTCTTAAAGTTTCATATAAAACATCTTGAATTTATTTGAAATAAGATCTGATGTGAAATACAAGGATCTGATGTCAAATACAAACCATTTGGATATTGCTCATCAGTAATAGCTAATGGATGAACAAAGTGGGAGAATTGTTGAGGCTTTGAGAGGAAAGATAAGAGATCTAATTATTTTTTAAAGTCTTCAACTAAAATTTCACAGGTAATCGACTTACAGCTTGATGCCAGTAAAAGATACTCCTCCTTTCTCCCTTTTTCTTATTGCATCTCTGCCTCTCTGAGCAGTCTCACCTATCTTTTTCTATCTGTTTTGATGTCCTTTCACTTAAACTGACAAAGACTTTTCTTTTTATGACTGGGGTATTTTTTTTGCCTTGTCAATGTGGTAAGCCAGTTCTCATGAGCCTGGGAGCTAGCTTAAGGTAAGCAGCAACAGGACTGAATGCACGGAAGTGGAAAAACTGGATCTTCTGCTGATGATGAGCTGTGAATTTGGTTCAGGAACATTGTCTTTGAAGAGATGGATATTGGTAGTTTTACACAACAAACAGAGGCAGTGGCACAATAGTTATTTTTGCTTAATCCAGATAGTCTATAATGTTGTTTCACAAAGATCTTTCTGCCTCTGCACTGTTGCTGACTATTTTGCATTGGCACTTGTGATTGTGCCTCTTTGTAGAGTCTCATCACCAAGTCAATCCACCTGAAAAAGAGCACACACACAAAAAAAACAATTAGTTTTCAGATAATTGGCAGAAGAGGAGAAATGCACACAGGGGTGCTGGAGGCAGAGGTGTGTGGCTGCTGATGGTGGCAGTGAGAAAACCAGGACCCTCTTCCTCAGCAAGAGGTTCAGAAAGCTTAAGCCCACTGTGAAACTGCAATCCAGAACATGGCCAGTCATGGCAGGGCTTTTGTGTTTTGATTGACAGATTGCTAGCCACATTTCTCAGTAGGATAGATTTGTTAAGTCTGTCTGTGTTAACAGATCTACAGCCTTAGTTATCCATGGTGTCATTAGTAAAGCTAGCATGTTTTGCTTATTTGGCTATTGCTGTGGAGGTAATGCATATGTCCTAGTGGGTGTGGATCAGTAGATGGGCACTTGTGCAGCTTACTGCTCCTAGCTCAGATTGGTTGTGAAACTTTATGTCTAGTCATACTTTCATAATTTTTTTTTTGTAAACTTTGAGAAATGAGAAAAGCTAGGATGTTAGGATATTCAATCTCTCAGAAAAACTCTAATATTTTTTCAGTCAACACAATATAATTGCAGAGAGATTTTAGCAAGCCTTGAGAAATGTGAAGCATCTTTTAACACTTCTTCTGTTTACTTACACCATATTTTGGACTCAGTGATATTTTCAAGTATCTTGAACCTTTCTGTTTCAACAGTGTAGAAATTCACAGCAAATAAATATTCACAACTCTCCCAGTTGAGCTTATCGTGTCAGTGAGCTACTTTCCCCTTCTAATAAAGGTCCTTCTGTACCCTTAAGAAGGATCAAAAATTGGGCTCCATGGAAGAAGTGCAGTTGGATGTCACAAACAGACAACTTAAAAATCTAGGTGTAGAATTGTTTTATTGTCTGTATTCACACTTCAAAAAAAGGGAAGCCCTTGTCTATACCTATGTCTTATAGTATGGATTTCACTTACACTTCTGGGTTCTTAAAGTCTTTATTAGAATTGATATTAAAAAATATTGTGTCTGTAAAATGTCCAAATAACTTTCTTTAGGTTCTTAGCAGGTTTCTTATTTCAAGTTGATGAACTTGAATTCAGGTTTTCACAGTATCAGCACCCCCTTTTAGAGTGATTGCTGACAATTCAAATAATACACTTTTTTTCCCAAATTATGACACTTGAATTCAGTATTGTCTATTATCTAGCTTTGTTACTATTAATAAACTTTTGTTTTGTCAAGAGGTCATTTGCCAAGTAAACTGTTTACTCAGTTCAAGTGGAGCTAGGGACAAGAAGCTTCATATTACAGTGCATCTTGTTGCTGAAAGAGCAAAGTCATGTTCATCCCCATTCAGGACCAGGCAAACACTTTGCCAGGAGCTGAGCCAGTTCAGCCTTCAAATCCAACAGGAATCTGTTTACTTGCTTTTTTGAAAGTAAATGGAATAAACATTGTACAGGTTAGATGGTTATAAACAAAAAGAGGGAAAGGTCTGGGTCTTCTTTTTGTCATGTATAATGGGGAGAGGAGTGTTGCCCTTTTCATTGAGGCAAGACTTGGATCAGGTAAACCCCAGCAACCACATACCCTTCACCTTCAGAGCACAGTTTTACAGTCAGCTTAAGCAAGGGCTGTCTCACCTTTTAGCCAGCTGTATGTTTCTTCTCTCAGCTCCAGCAGTTTTGAGGCTCCAGTGCTAATTGGATCAGTCCACTGATTTGGCTTAAAAGCCCTGTTATGGAATAGCTTTAAGTCAGGTCTGACTCAGCTTGCAGTCCTATGACTGGAAGAGAAAGGGAGTTGGGTTTGGCTGCCTTTTTCATGAAAGCTCAGTCCTTGGACAAAGAGCCCATGACCTCATAGGCATTCTCATTAATGCCTTAAATGGGAAATTGAAGTGATATATTAACCTAGTATATATCTACCCATATTTTCTCTTTTAAAGGGCTAGGTTCTTAATGACTATATAGTTATTTTAAAGTCTACTGTTTTGCTGAGAGCTTACTTGTGCACTGAAATTAATGTCTAGGAAAGTAGTATGTAAATTTTGGGAAAAATAAAGACAGCCCTAGCTTTTGTCAGCCTCTTGTGTATTTTCTGGTCTTGCATGACCCCATGCACGACCACAGATGCTAGAAATAAATTGGAAAGTAGGGGCACTATACATGGCACTGCCAATGGAGGGCAAGTTTGACCCTCAGTTTCAAATTATCCCTGCTGTGCTGAGTGGAAATAAGAATGCTGGTGGCACTGGGCTGTTGCATCCCATCCGCGCTTTTTATCAGTTGCGTTAGCAAGAGCAAGGTCCCACGGTTAAAATGTCAAATCCCCTCATTTCTGAGAGCTCCTGAATTTGACTGAAATCTGAATGTGAGCATGTGTGAATGAGGTGAATGCTAAATAAAGCTGCAGTTAAAAATTGGTTTCAGTCAACTCTTAAATTACTTTATTGACCTACTCCAAGGGATGCCACTGTACAAAAATAGCACATTGAAAATTTAGTGCACACGTTAAAGAACAAACCATTGAGTCATTAGTTATCCACTGCCTCTCACCCTGTAGTGGCAGGCAGAGACACAGATGTGGGACTTTGTCTCAATCTGGTTATAAGATGCCCCATTAAAAAATTAATACAAACACCCTTGCTTTGGGCAGATCAGATTTCAGGATAGAGTGAGACATTTTATATGAAAGGGGCAAGCACATAATTAGCAAGAACTAACTATATATGACAGGCCTACAACATGTCTACCAGGGTAAAGGGTTTGTTGAAATTTTATTAGATTTGGCTGCATTTCATATTAAACTCATGTTGGTAATGGTTGATTCAAAGTAGTATGGCCTAAACGCCTGTCATTTGAACCAGTTTCTTGATCATCTTACACTAAGCACTGCAGTGCCGCAGGCACACGGTTACTACTACAAACTAAAACTCTCCTGAACATGTCACAGACAGGCCGCAGCTCAGACAAACTGACTGTACCCATGCTATGAATATTAATGCCAGGAAAAGCAAGAGAGAAAAGACAGAATGTTAGCTTTTTGCAATGAACTGTTTAGCACATAATTAACACTTGTCAGAAGTGCTGTAAACTTGTGGACACACATTATTTTTACTCCTGACATAACCTGCCTTCTTTCTCAAATCTAAGAGGTGTCACGTGATCTTTTTAGTACTTGCTTTCATAAATAAAGGAGTAAGATTTATTACTTAACTACATTCATTATTTTAGGTTTCAAAAAAATCTCTTAAAGAAAAAATCTTGCATTTATTCAAATAGCGTTTGCATAGAAGTAGGAAGATTTCACACTACCTGTTAGAATTAACTTCCTGATCTAAAGATTTTGAAAGATCATGTTTGTTAAACTACATACTCTGTCATCAGTTAACTCCATGCTCTATCGTCAGATTTATCCTGAACATGACAGACTCATCTTACAGAATTGGTAGTAGATAATGGCTATAAATTACGTCACTGAAGCACTAGCTGTGTTGAACAGTGTATTTGAATCAAAGTGGTACAGTTTTATACAAGAAGGAGAAAAATTTTGAAAGTCAGAAGGACAAAAATTTCATGGAATAGAAAGGAAGAAGCAGTTTAGGCTATTTCCAGCAAACATGACTGTAAAAGGAAATATATATTAGTAAAGTGGGGAGGGAATGTTAAATTTCTCTAGAGTAAAAACATTTGTGAACCTTATCTGTGGAGATGAAAGAACTGACCTGTGTTCTGGCTGCTGATTTTTTCCTGCTCTGCAGGGCATTTTCAGATTCTGTATTGTCTTTATTTTCCTTTTTTAAAAAGCTGCTATCTTCTGCCTGTGGTTGAGTTCCTCACTCTGAGAGATAGCCTAAAACAGTATTTCTACGAAGTATGTGCTGCTTCTCAGCTGTGGTTTCATGTTGCAAGACTTAAACAGCAATATTCTTTCAAGGACACCTATCTCTTCTTCAGTCATTCCGTTGGCACATCATCCACTGTCCTGAGAATGGGATTTGGGAATTGAGCTGCATTAGAAACCAAAATGGGTGAAAAATTCTATTCATTTATAGTTCCATCACTTCTCTGATCCTTCAGTTACACTGCACAGTAGCAAACAAGGAAGAGCAAGAATGTCATAAACTAGTAGAACAATAAACTCTTTCTATCATGAAACCATGATTGCATTAGGCTTTACTTCCAAGTTCCAAGCTGTTCAGTGCTTGTAGTACATTGATGTCAAGTTTTGCTGGATACTGGTAAGAGGTGCAGGAGTTGGTCTTCTACTCACTCCAAGGAAGCAAAAGATTAAAATGAAATAAAAAAGTGAATACACATGGGTAGGCTGCATAGAGGAGAATGGATAATAAGAAGAGTATGAATAATACTCATCATTCACTTATTACGAACTGGTTCTTTTTCCCATTGAATGATAGGTTATAAACTAACAATTAAAAAATTGATGTTTCTAAAAGCAGCTTTCATAATTTGATCTTTATGCAAAATTGCTACTGGTGTTAAAGTTCTGTTGTGGTTTATGATTTTGTGTGTGTACATGTATGTACATTGTTCTTAGGCACTCTTTTTATGTATATAAAAAAACTAAATTGAACTCTATAAAAGAATCTGACAGTCCTTTACTTGAGATAGCATGTGAGTATGCACGTGTGGCTTTAAGATTTCTCTTGCAGGTGTAATACTGCCTAAGTGTTTAAATGGTAAATTCATAATTTTAAGAAACAAATGACGATGATGTGTAAAGACACTGTTTGAAGTATAACAGCACAGCACCAGCAGTCCTTATGGATCTACAGTTGTGTTTCTTCTGTATTTAAGGTGGCCTAAGACATGCAGTAGCCAGTATAGCAGGTCTTGAAGCTTACAAATACATGAAGTTTGAAGGAGGAGTGCATCGTGTACAGCGGGTACCAAAGACAGAAAAACAAGGACGCATTCACACCAGCACAATGACTGTTGCAATATTACCCCAACCCACTAAGGTAATATTTATCTTTTATTCCCTCACAAAACCGCACTGAGATCGGCAACAAAGTCTCCTTTAAGGAGCAGCTTGCTGCTTCCTCCTCCGAGTACTTGGATGTGAGCTACCACTCATAAACTTTAAAAAGTTTGATCTTGCATGAATGTACCTTATAGAATAAACTAACTGTACATATTTGATACCTGTATGGAAAGAAACAATATAAACACATTCTTTTTTCATTTTTCTTTTTTCTTTTTTTCTGTATCTCATGACAGATGAGCCTGGAAATTAATCCAAAAGATCTACGGATAGAAACAAAGCGAGCTAGTGGAGCTGGAGGCCAGCATGTCAATACCACAGATAGTGCTGTAAGGATAGTTCATATTCCAACAGGTGCTTCATTTTTTCCTTAGTACAAGATCTACATTGCAAAACTGTTTCAGAATTTCTTTTGAAACAATGGTTATATTTTCAAACCTAGACAACAGCAAAGCAAAGTTTTCATATAGTTTTCATGTCTATTCATAGTACTCTATGAATAGACATGATCATCTAGAATGACATCTATAAATAGACATCATCCTGTCTATGAAAATATAACAGTGGTTATATTTTTCAAACCTGGACAACAGCAGAGCAGAGTTTTCATATGGTTTTCATGTCTATTCATAGTACTTTATGAATAGACATAATCATCTAGAATGACTCTAGGGATAGACATCATCCTGTGCCCACTCCAATTTTTAGTAGTAAGGACTACTGGCTTCAGTAGGTAACCGATCCGTTTGCCACTAAACATGACACTCTACAAGCACCCAGATCAATTTCTGTCAAAAAGTTATATTTAAGCTTTCAAATAATGAAAATGACACTGAAAAATGGAGTAGGTTGAAATCTGATGATCTGCCATTTCTTGCCAAAAGAGAGATTGCTCTATTTCCATATTAAAAATGTTGCTTTTAACTGCAGAGTCTACTCAGGATGCCAGGTTCTATTTGTCTGCTGGCTCCTTTCCTACAGATGACACACATAATTAGGAGGCCCATCCCTCTGGCTCAGGTTAGGAAACATAGGAGGGATGTGGTACACCCTCAAATGCTAACGGATTTTAGCTATCATATATATATATTTTTATTGCCATTCCTAACCCTTTTACTTCCCTTTGGGCAATCCTCAACAGCTGCCTTGACTTTCATGGCATTTTAACTTTTCCTCTTCTCTACCACAAACATTACTCAGGTTTTACAGCCTCAGGGTAATCCAGAGTGTTCTTTATCTTCACGTATCCAGATTTTTGCCACTGATTTCTTTGTATTTGTTTAACACATTGATCCATTCTGCACTTGTTGCATCACCTTAGTAAAGTAGAAGATAAACAGTAGAACAGATAAAATTCTATATACCACTATATCGTGACAAAAGACACTCCAGATTGATAAAGTTTTGGATTGCCTTCATGTTTGGATAAAAACACAACAAACTAAAACCAGAGTTGATCTTAGTTTTTGCTGAATGCAGGTATTAGGGGATGTTATAGAAATCTTAAAGCATATTGCAAATTTTTTTGTGGTTATATATGGCTAATAGGGGGATTTATATCTCACCTTGTCTCTTAACTTCTTCCTGTTCCACCATTCTCTTCATTTCTCTGATCTCTCTTCCCTTACAATTATACTGTTACTTCTATTTCTCTCCTCCTAAATCTTGTTCAAATCTTCACTGCAATCCAAAAGGTGGTTTATAAATAAGTCTTTCATAAAGTAATACTATGTAGTCTTATAAAACATACTTTAATATTACCAGAGTTACTTAAAATAGACCCAAATAACAATTTAGCTTGTGCTGTCTTCTTCCTATATTTCTTCTCCCTAACCCTTTCTTGGGCTGTTCATTTCTTGTCTTGAATTATATGTTTTGGGATGAGAAAACACACTTCTTGTTGTTCATAAAATAGTGCCCACTTTTTTAATATTCTGATCATATTCTATATGCTCGCTATCTCATGTATTTTACTGCTCCTTAAACCTTACATTTCCTGGAACTGTGGCCAAAAATTACAAGTATGCAAGGTGTCTTCTGTAAGTCAGATCATATCACGTATCTTTTATTTTATTATCCACCTGTTGTCCAACATGCAGAATTAAATTTCTTGTCATATGGCTTAAAACACCTGTACAACTCAGCCCGCACTTCTCTCCCAAAATGTATTATTAGACATTAATTAGTAAGTCTGGACTTCTACATTCCCAGTCCAAAATACATATGGAAGAAAGAAAGGGTTTATTGTAACGTAATAAAAATCTTCTAGAAATTGCAAAACTATTTTAATAAGTGTTACTCTTATGTTCCAAATGTCATGATATTTTTGACAGGGATCGTGTCTGAATGTCAGCAAGAAAGATCTCAAATTAGAAACAAAGAGAAAGCTATGCAAATGCTATCTGCTAAACTATACAGTGCCAAACTAGAAGAAGAAACTAAAAAGAGAAACAGTGTTCGAAAGATTCAGGTAAGTTTTGTTTAGTAACAATATAATTCTGTACAAGCATATGTTCTTAGCATAACCTCTGTGTTGAACTGCAAGTAGTAAACGACAATATAGAGGAACAGGAACCCAGGAAGGACTTATATGAGTTAAAAAAAAAAATTATAGAATCATAGAATGGTTTGTCTTGGAAGGGATTTTAAAGTTCATCTAGCTCCAGCCCTCCTGCGATGGACAGAGACACCTTCCACTAGACCTCCCTGAAAAACAAAACGTTGCAGAGTCCACAACTTCTCTTGACAATAAAATTATATTTTACTTCAGCAATAGAGGTTGTATATTAACCAGACTTAATATTTCACTAGTACGTAAATTCTAGAGATCCAGTGAAACAAACTGCATGTTTGATTGCAGCATGCAATCAAGAAGAACCAGAATAGTATTAGAAAAAGATGAAGTAAAATTGTTCTTCTATATGTTTGAAAACAATTACTGCAACCACTGAAGTGATCTGAGTCTTATGTAACTATAACAAATTTTAGATAATCATGGGAGGGAAAGAAACCTTTCAGTTTAGATGCTTAATCAATATTTCATAATTTTTATAGAAAGATGATGATAAACTGATTCTTCTTGTTCCATAGATTGGAACTAAAGGAAGATCAGAGAAGATCAGAACATACAACTTTCCACAGGACCGGATTACAGACCACAGAATAAGCAGATCAGTGCATCATGTTGAGTCTTTCATGTTAGGGGAAGAAATGCTAGATGAAATGATACAAACTCTGAGAGAATATGCTGATTTTGAATCTTTAATGGAAATTATTTCAGAAAATGAAAAAAATAATTCCTCCTGAACATTGCTGTTTCTCAGCCCATTAGAACAGATGTTGTTAAGGTCTGTAAAGAAGCTCCTTGGAGTACTACCCAGAAAATGGAACTGCTTTTCAGATCATGAAAAACACCACAACTTGTTTCCTCATGACTAATAAACAGTTTTCTTACTAGCTGTGTAAAAGACTTTATTATCTTCATGTGAGACATTATTGCTGCAGCAGTCCGTTTTAAAAGTAAATTTGACTGCGCCAGAAGGAACTGCAATTTTTAATTTTCTCCACTGAGAAGATACTGATACACCACTCTTACAAGGTATGCACGCATTAAAAAATGAGATATTTGTAGTTCCAGTTTTCATTTAAATAGCTTAAATGTCACTACAGTGTCAAACAGCTTACGTGAGAGAACAAAAAAAAACTTAATTTCTTTGAGTGATTCTACCTATCTACATATCTGTTAATCACTTAAAATGTCATGAAAGGAAGTCTAAGTGCATTCCATCATGTTTTCATGTCCTTCAGAACAAAAGTCTAGGAATATCCCTTTTTCAAAAAAAAAAAAAAAGGCTGTGGAAGCCAAGTGACAAATCATATGAGTTGGTTTTTGAAAGAATGTTACTATTCTTGAGTCCAAAGTGAATTGTTACAGTATTGTTTGGCTGATACTTAGTCTACACTTTGCTTCCCTTCAGTTTCTCCTTTATGCTTTTAATTGACCCTCCAAGTTACTGATTTTCTAAAAATTACATGGTGTGACAGGCATCTTAGTGTTTGTGTATCAATCTAACAGCATTGTAAGGCATTCCATACCGTTATCAGCTTTGTTTTTTAGTAAACACTGCGTGGTAACTATGATTAAGTTCCAAATCTTTTAAAGGCACATACATTAACTTTAGATGTAGGAATATCTATATGCATAAGGTGAGGCATATATATATCCTGTTGGTAAGCACGAGACCTGGGTCTACATTTACTAGTAGTTTTACGACTTCCAACTGGCACATAAAAACGTGAAAAAACATTGACTCATTAGATACCGATTGGTACAGAAACTAGGACTGAAGTCTTTATTCCTACCAGATCAGTACTGCAAATGGAAGACTACAGAGCTCTTGTGAGAGTCTTACTGATGTAACTTAAAGCCAGGCTCTCTTACATACATCGATGGAGTTTGCAATTCTTTCTAACTTCAGCTCTGTATTCATCCAAACAAATAAGAGCCATTAACTGGGTCTGAGCACTGGATTACTGCATGAGAAATTTAGATAAACTTGGAGCCCATCTGTCTAAATCCTGCCTGTCTCACAGCCTCCCTGTTCTCATCTGGCTCTTAAACAGACACTGGAGGTGGTGTTGCCTTGCAAGTGACCAGCCTCTGACCAGTGTGAGAAAAAACAGACACGATGTGGTTCTAGCAGGAAGCTGACAGAGGTATCCTAAAACTGGCATCTGACAGGACTTCACTGTCCTCCTTGGCTCATCATGGCAAGCCTTACTCTATATTAATTCTAACGCAAGAGGTGTTGTCTCTGAAAATGCAACTTCCCCAAGCTGTGAGCATATTGCATTTCCAACAGCAGCAGTAGAGATCCTTGCACTGGTGTCCAGTCAGCCTAGCTTCCAGTGGTGCTCTTCCTCACTCTGCAATAGCTAGTAGCATGACCAATGTAAAATAAATATAATTCTTTTATGGGAAGGAGCCCAGATGCAAGATCCACCACCAGACTTAAATCACAGAACCACAGAATGGTTAAGGTTGGAAGGAGCCACAGTGGGTCATCTGATCCAGCCTCCCTGCTCAGGCAGGGTCATCCTAGAGCACGTGGCACAGGATTGCGTCCAGAGGTTCTTGAATATCTCCAGTGAGGGAGAGAATCGTTCCCCGGCATAGGAGCTTTGCACACGGGGAGCGTGTCAGGATGATGGGAGGATCCCAGGCTCGTCCATTTAAAAAAACAAGCGCAGATGTAGCTGGGCACCAGGCTGAACTTAGACGCGTGTCACTCCCAGGCAGGGAAGGCGGCAGTTCCTTGGGGAGAGCACCGCGAGGCCGTGCGGGTGCCGGAGGGCGGGAGGAAGGGGCGGGCGGGACCCACGGCCGGGCGGGACCCACAGCCGGGCGGGACCCACGGCCGGGCGGGACCCACGGCCGGGCGGGACCCACGGCCGGGCGGGAGCCGCCGCCGCGCGGGAGCCGCAGCCACGCCGCCCGCCTCCCTCGGAGCCGCCAGCGAGGGAAAGCGCCGGGCCGGGCCGGCGCCGCCCCCCGCACCCCGCATTGGCCCCCGCTTTCTGTCGGTCTCCGATTGGCCGCGTGCAGCCCGCGGGCGCGGCGCGATTGGCCGGCGCCGTTTTGGATACCAAATTCAAAGTTTTTAAAAAGCGCCCGGCGAGCGCGGACCACGCACTGCCCGCCGGCGCCGCAGCAGGGGTGAGCGCCGCGCCGGGGTGAGCCATCCGTCCTCCAGGCGGTCCGCGGCGGTGGGGCTCCGCGCTCAGGGTTCTGCGCTCAGGGCTCCGCGGTAGGACCGGCTCGGGCCACTGGGGCTCCGCCGTCAGGGCTCCGTGACCGGGGTGGTAGGGGTTGCGGGCGTACTCAGCGACGGGACTGGGAGTGCTGGCGGCGCTGCGCGGGGCGTGAGATGGGCTGCGGATCCCCGGCGGCCGTCCAGTCCGGCTGCCCTCCGCAGCCTAGCCTCGCAGCTATCCCGCCGGCGGGACGGGATGGGATGGGATGGGACGGGACGGGACGGGACGGGACGGCGGCACATGGGCAGCCACGGAGCTCCCCGATCCCGCCAACGAGCCGCGTGTGGGGTGCTCTGGGCTGCTCGCCGCACCGGCTGGGCCGGGCCCGGGTCCGAGCCGGGGTGGGGTGGGGAGCGCAGGTCGGCTCCCGCCGGCGGGCAGCGCGGGAGGGGACGCGCCGCGCTGTCTCCCGCCCGCCGGGCCACGCCGCCCGAGGGGGCATCCCGCCGGCGCGCTCCTGCTCGGCCCGCCACCAGTATTTTGGGAGGAATCCTCTAGTGCTGGGGAAAGGGGAGACTCCCGAAGGCGCAGGGTGAGGGTCCCGGCGCCGTGGGGCACGGTACAGCCGGGACCCACTCTACCTGCCGCCGACCCGGGCCATCTTGAGCGCTGGGCGGGAGAAGCCTGACAGCGCCGCGGGGGCCCGCGACTGAGCCCTTTCCTCCGGAGGGTCGGGGCCGGCCTTGATGGGGGGACATTTTCCAATTCATTAGGATTTCAGCCCAAAACCTCCTCTCCTCTCTCGTAAGGAAGGGGGGAAGGGAAGGAGAAAGCTTACCGAGGGCTTGCATCTCTCAACCTAACTCACACAATTCAAAGCCATAAGCGTATTTGCTCCTTTCTTCCACTAAACGTAGGTACAAAGAAGGGACTTTTTATCTGAATCGTTCATGAAACATTTTTCCAATGCTTCTTTTCAAAACTGCTGGAAGTGCTTAAATCCTTTAAAATTCTTGCTCAGATGGGGGAGTTTATATTTCCTACGGATTACAAAGCATGTTGAAAATTATTTTCCCTTTAGATTTAACAGGGCAGCGATGGCTTCCTTCTCCCCTTCAGCCCTCGCCCATCCCCCCGCAATTGTTAATATAGATAGCACCGCATTTCGGGCGGGAGAGGAAAGAAACAGGACAAGGAAAGCTCAGTTTCCCTATGATAGCTATCGACCTCTCACCCTCTTAAAATCATGCTTGTAAGTAACCTTTCTTTCGCTCCGGCCATTGTTTAAAGGGTGACTGCTTTTCTTTGTAATTTATACATCCATGTGAGCACTTAAGTTTTTCGTGTGCCATCCAGCCTCTTCCCGTTTTAAAAATGCCAGATACCTGGCTGCAGGCAATGCAGCAGCATTGCCTCTGGTCTTGGATGCAAACTTTAGGCTTCTCTGGTCCGGATATACTGCTGCGCAGCACTGCTGTCACTCGTGGACCCACTGCCACTGGTGTCCCTTGCAGGGACTGCAAGTGTCCTGGCTATGTCGCTGCATTTAGGGTAGGAAGTGGAGGCATTGGTGTGTCTAAAAGTAAACTGTTCTGGTGGTATGGTGACAAAGTAAATCAGCCAGTCAGTTTCCTAGCCCTAGTTATATGCAGCATAGAACTCTAGTTTTGAGAAGAACTTACATAGATTGAATTAGTGACTCTTCAAATCTATAGTCCCACTAATTGTATTTGTATTTCAGACACTGGAGGGTGAGTTAGATAAGAGTTTACAACTCATAATGCAGAAGAAAGGCATGGTCAATTCTTTATAAGAAGAATAATTTGTGATGTAGTTTACACTGTGTTGTAATACTGTCCTTGTTGTTTCTTGCAGGATACAAAGAACAAAATGAAATCGAACCTTAACCGCTCTTGCAAAATGAAGCGTGATTTTGATTGTGCATCTCTTCGTGCTGCGTTTGCACCACTGAAATCTGCTGTGGAGAAAACAAGACTGGAAAAATCCTGCCCCTTGAATTACAAGGAAGGCTTTTGTAAAAGCTGTGCAGAAGAGCATCAGAAAATACTCCCTAGGGACTCATATCATGCAGCCGCCAGAAATCTAGAACTTGAAAATGGAGAAAGACCGATACATAACAAAGAAAACAAACAAGTAAGCCAGAGACTTGATGAAGTTATCTATGAAATGGAGGCACTGGAAAACAGTAAACTTAATGAGGACAGTGGTTATTCCTCTATGTTAAGTACTCAGTTTGCTGATGCAATAGAACATGAGGATAGTATACCTTTGGCTGGGAATCTCTGTGGTACACCAAAACATTGTCTCATGAAGAACCAAAACCAAGAAGAGTTTTCAAAGAAGACTTTATTGCCAGTAAGCCATTATGAAGAAATGATTTGCTCAACTTTGAAAAAAAATGGTAAAAGAAATCTCAAGTCTTGGGCTGCTATAGACAAAATTGTTTTTAGGGGAAAAGTTGAACTTTGTAACTTAATCGGAAAGAAAATGGGGCTAGATAGAATAGACATTCTTGCCGAGCTCTTCCAAAAGAACCTGAAGCATATATTAGCAAATATTTTAAGGCATCTCAGCGAGGTGGATTTAATAAAGTAAGTATATTGATCTCATTGTATTTCATTGGGAAATGAAACAGCCTAGCCAGATGGCTTAATGTTTTAGATATGGGGCTTGTAACATTTACTGAATGTTTAG